TTTACTGTTACGCCCGTGATATTAGCCTTTCATAACAGAAGGAGAATAATGATAGAGAACAAAAACAACCCCCAGGCCAAGTTGTACCTAATCATTGGGAAGAACAGGGTTTCATTTAAACTGGCCAATCACCAACTAGCAGGGCATTGAGGGGTCAGAGAATTTCCAGATAATTGGTGGTTGAAAGCAACAGAGAACTTGGCATGTTACATCTGCTTTGAGCGATGGAATTTATAGTTGAAGTAGATGAACATTTATCTCCAAGACAGCCAAAAAACAGTCACCATTAATGAGTTGAAGATGTGAAAATCGGTGCAAGTGGAGTCCTCTAGGGAGAACAACTACTCAGTCATTAGGCAGTACTTCTTTACCCCCTCTGTTGAAGAATATGCTCCTTTGATCTCCAGAGGAAAATACGTTAGCAGATGTTTTGGTTATTATCTCCTAAAGAGAGTTGTCAAGGCTTAATTTAATTATACTTTGAGCATGAAAGGTTGGACCGGTATCCACAGACTAATGGTGTAGTATCGTTTAAATATGAGCAGACACACTGTGCTGCTTAGGCGCAAATCAATGTAGTCACCCTCACAATGTTTTGATCATAACTGAAGGGACCTTCAACATCGAAAGTATTTAAACCCCTTGAGCTTTCTCACATTGTCATGTTAGGACTGCAAAAATCAGAATATCCAGTTGGGATTTTATTGGGCAGGCAAACACAAAGCAGTGCATAATAATGAAATGGAAGGAAATATGTGGATTTCAGAATTCATTAGCATATGAAACTGTGCAGCGTGTTGTGCTTTGACATTCAACTATCTTTACTCTGATACCCTTAACTTCCTTCCAAAGTCACTGAATTAGTAAATAGGCTTCACCTGCATGAAATTCAGTCTCAGTGAGTCTGCGTGGTATTGGTCTAGAATGTAGAACATTAATAACACAGTGAGAGCTGTGATCAGATAAAGTTATGAAAAAGCTTTGTTAATAGCATCGCGTGCGTGGGTTAAGTGGATGATTTAACACCCACACTTTTCAGACTGAGTTAATATATTTGTTAGTCGAGGCTAAATTTGGACAAAACAAAAGTTCAAAACAAAATTCAGTTTTTAAGGAACATTTCTGGGACGATGACTGAAGCAGATGCTTAGAGTGTTGAATTTAGTGCTGAATAAGTTATTATTCACAATTTTATTTACTGACAGTGTAAGTTTAGCAGTTTGCTATGAAAAACATTATTCTGTTTTACTCACTTTTATAGCAAAAAACCCCAACAACAATAACTTCTTAAACATTCATAAATGTCTTATTTTTATTAGAAAAAAATGAGACCATAAATTATCTGTATTATGTACAGAGTGAATAAATAGAAAAAAATAAACAGAATTTTTTTTTATCTAAGTGGTTGAAATTATCAAGTTTTAAATAGTTAGTTTTGCTCCAAAACAAAAAATTTTATTTATTATTTTTTATTTATTATTTTTTATTTTTTATTTATATATATATATATATATATATATATATATATATATATATATATATATATATATATATATATATATATATAGAGAGAGAGAGAGAGAGAGATAGATAGATAGATAGATAGATAGATAGATAGATAGATAGATAGATAGATAGATAGATAGATATATTTCACAACATACATTTAAGTCCAAAAATAAAAAGTTACATTATGTGGGTGTGATGTGTTTTTTAAGTAAATGAAAATAAAGAACAGGAGTCTTCAGAATAATTTCTTGAGTGTCAGAAACCATGGTTTTTATGACCAAAGTCATAGAGTTCAAAGGCAATGCAACCAAAGACTAATGTATATAAACTTTTGATTTTAAAGACTTAAACCTGACATGTTTCTCTCATTACTGCAGCAAATAGAAATAGTTTTCAGTAATTCTGATTGACCTGAAACAAGACAAGTTTGGTCTGATTTAACTATAGACATTAAAGTGAACATGTCTTTTAATTTCCTGCAAACTTTTTGTTTCAATTTTCTTAACAAAGTCTTTTTGAACCAATAAAAATGTCTTGATATTTGATTAATAAACGAATATTGCTCTATCAGACGCATTATTTAGCTAAAAATAAAATAACATTTTCAAAAAGTGTTAATGAAGTACATCTACAGTTTGATTGATAAAACCCAAAATACCGCATGCATAAACAGGTGAGCTTTAAAATGTTCGTCATTAAGCAGTTGTAGACACTTAAATCTAAGCCACATAAAGAGAGAAATGAGCTAATTTCTCAGACTTTTCTAAGTTTGCCAGATGTGAGATGGAAGCATATATTGTAAGACGCACTAAAGAAATACTTAGCTTTATGTAGGATCTATCCATAATTTCCGCACACCATGTATCCCTCAGGCACACAATTATTATGAATAATAAACAGCAGAAAACAAAGCCAGCTGCAATGTGTTTGCTAAACGTCCATACCTGTAACATTCTCGGTCTTCCTCGCGTCTTTTTTCGTGTCCTCTGCCCACGAGAGCGGAAAGAAAAGCAGCAGCAAGCACAACAAGTGTCTGCCGGCGGTCCTTCTCATGGTGCTGGAACCTGTTGAAGATAGTAAAATCACCCTCACACTCAGAAAATGTGTCTCTGTGTGTCAGCGGCTGTTGAAAAAAGTGAAGGGTGAAAATGGAAACGTCGGTTCGCTTACTTTGTTGCTCTCCCTTATCTTCGGTTTTGAAGGCTCGGCGCTGTGTGCGAATCTGACGAGGTCTTAAGCTTCTACTTAGGCCGAGCGCGAGCGACGAAAAGGCGGAGCGGAGCGCGCCGCCCCCGCGTCACCGTCTCGAGACGCGGCGGGAGGTGATGCTGTGGGTGCTGCTCTCCATGTTTAACACGAACATCCTATTAACATTATATTTCGGAGGCAGCTTGTAAAACGGAGGTAAAAACAGAGGTGAGTTTTGGGTTTCATTTAACCAATTCGTTATTTAGGTACTACTACATCTAAAAAATGAATGCAGCGTGAATATGCAGCATTTCTTTTCAGTTATCTCAAAAAGTGAAACTCGTATGTCGTAAAGAATCATAACGCATAAAGTGGCATATTCCAAGCCTTTATTTCTTGTAATATTCGACGATTGTGGGTTCTCAGACAACAGAAACCCAAATTTCAGCATCTCTGAAATTTTGAATACTACGAAAATGTCATTAACAGCTCATAATCCTAATCAGATATTTAACTCAAAACGCCTGCAAAGGTTTCCTGGGACAATGGGAGAAAGAAAGAAAAGAACATTGGCTTTTATAAAATCTAAAAGAAGACAGGAGAAATGAGAAGTACAGGGAGGATGAGGAGAGAAGAGAATTATTTCTCTTATTAGATTTGAGCACACTGGGCTAAATAGTACAATTTTTATTTTAGAAGAAACATTGCAGTTGTAACAAGTTTAGAAAATGTGCTTTTATTTATTTTTATAATGTTTGAAATTTCACCAAATCCTGATTAATACTGAAGAATCCCATTTTTTTGTTATATTTTAAGGATTGTATTATTTTATTTATTTTGGTAAACACTACTACCTGTACTGTTGCTTTAAGAGAGTGTTCTATGACTCTCTTATAGTCATATAACTATGACTATAAGAGCTAGCTAGGCTAGCGCTAGTTGGCGCTAGGCTGCCTGAGGAGAGGTAGGAAAGTTTCTTTGCTCTTGGTTAAGTTCATGGTTTTTTTGATATTTGTAAAATAATTGAAAGCACATGCAGCTGTGAATGTTTATGTTTTAATACATACATTTCTTTTGACAAGTTAAGAAAATTTTGTTGTAAATATTAGAGCTTATATTCTTATTAGTTAGTCACAGGGTTTCTCCATGTGCTTATCTGCTAGGGGAATTCCGACTTCTGTGTGCGGAAGAGCTGCATTCTAAAGGGCTTTCTGTATTTCTATTTGT